ACTGTAAATTGCATTCTCCTACATTTGTGGAGCTTTTTCTTGGGGGGTCATTGTGTTGTTTGGCTTGACTTTCCCTTTGTGTAGAAAAACATCATGGTGGAAATTGTGTAGAATCAAAAACATCCTATGGCAAAGATATTAATTAATAATATTGTAATAATATGTTTACATGTTTTGTTTTAAAAGTATATTAGTTGTGCATACATTTACATAAATTTCAGAAGTGTTTCTATGGTTAAAATAATTTAAATTGTAACTATTTAGATATACAATAAATGCAATTGTTGGTTATAGGTGCTTCTATTGGATATATTGTAATAGAATGAATACATTATAAAGTGCTGAACCTAAGCAAACAACCACCTCCACCTGACCAATCCATCTTCACCATTACCTACCCCACCCACAACAACACATCTTGTTTTTAGACCATACTGGTAGCCATGGGTAACCAAAGTAATCCTAAAGTCTCATGGGAAATTACTTAAAATGAAATTTTCATCACCAGAGACTTGCAACCAATAAAAAATATTGCCAATTACAGCAAGTTTTGTCTAGAGAGCTATAAAAATTTACTGTACAAATCAATAAACACTACTGAGAAGCAAGGTACGAAGGGGGTAAGGAGGGAGACTCACCTGATACCATATACCTTTCTTGCTCTTCTCTACTCCAGCAGCTCGTCAGTATTTTCTTGATTCTGTCTTGCACGCTGTTCCATTCTTTTTCCGCTTGTAACCTAACATCTTTATTTGTATCTTTATATTTCTTAATTTGGCTACTAATTGGTTGTAAGACATACTCGGGTGGTACAGCATTTGTATCAATTCGATACCATTCATCTAATATCTGTTTGTCAGTGCTGTCTGTTATCGACTCTTGAAGTTTTTTAAATGCTGTTGCTGGGATCTGACATGGACATTGGCAGTTGTATTTCTGGTTGAGAAAACTCTGTAGAAAAATAATTGAAAAATGAATTATTATATATAGTAATGTATTCCTGGTATTTCGGAGTGATTACATACAGGTGATTAGTAGTATTACACAACAGAACACCTTCGTTATCAAAATGCATGCAGTTATTCAGACATACACGTTTACTGGTGTAATATCAAATGGAACAGTTCCAAGGCATGGTTCAATTAATATGGAAGGTTTGGACTTTTCAAATAATGAAATATATTATTTACAGTGGGCCAGTGGGCAGTAAAATAAACTGATCACTATTTCCCTATCAGTTTCCCTTGTAACATTGTAATATTCACAGGAACATTTCCAAGGGTGTTTTCATTCCAACAAGCTCCCGAACATAAGAATTTTCACATAACTTCACTGCAGTAACAACCACACAGTATGTGAATGGAACTATTTAAGAAAAAGATTTATGGATTTGGAATTAAAATAAAGTTACATCATGAGATAAAGAATTGTGTGAATTCAACAACTGTCTGAACATTTCAAATTAAAAATGACATGATATGCAACCATCACTAGCAATGTTCCTCTGAATACTGCCAAATTTTGATTAGGTGATAGTGGCTTGTCAGATTATGAGAGGGGTGGAGTTTAAAACATGGAGTTATCACTATCTATGAAACTATTAAAGTTTGTGAAAAGCTTTTTCTATTAAAATAAGAATATATGTTAATTAACCACCATCGTAAACATGGCAATGAAGAGAACACTTGCCATTCAAAACAAATTCATCTTTTTCATTGAACAAAACTGACATACTTACAATAAATTTTGGTCCAATGGATTTTTGTTGACATTCTTTCAATTCAAAAAGACTACAACCCACTAAGCTGTGGTCATCCATGTCTTCTAACCTATGACCCCAATGAAGATCTACAAGTTGAAGTTCAAACCCATTTTTCGCACAGTGCATTTGTAGCTTTGGAAACACTCTCTCCATCAATACAGTACGCTCAAGTTCTGAATCTATCAGGATGAAACAAGATTGAGTAATCATGGTTACTATGGTGATTGATTCATCGACACAAGATGGATGAATTCAGTGTGGCACCCTTTGTTTGCTGACTACAACTAACACTAATAACGTTTTCTCTGACTTTTAACAAACTGGAGATCATTTAATATCTATAGAATATGTGATTAGAATATTATTGTATAAACACAAGCTGAATGTTAAGCAGATGAATGATTGTTATAACTCATTGCTGGACACAGATTGAAAGGAACATGGTGGAGCAATGAAAAGTAAAACGACAAATCCAGAGTGCACACAAGGAAGATAATATAGATTATCTCGCAGCATGTCCCTGGCCTTTTGCCTTTAATATTCCTCTACTGTAGGACATGTGCCTTTAATTTGTACAATGTATGAAGACTCACCAGCTTGGCATGCACTCACAAATATCCTGATCACTTTTATCATCTCCGTACATTGAACGTTGGCAACGTCTCCTGTTAGCAGCTTTTGTACATCGTCACGGAGATCAGCTAAGCTTGGTAACGGTGGATCACTAGGTCCGCTTTTCACTTGTGGAGGAGGTTTAGGCTGCGGTGGTTCTGCTGGTGGAGGCGCATTACTGGGTGGTGGCGGAGGTGATGACTGTGTGGATGGAGGAGGCCCTGCTGTATTGGCATCTGACGGACTACTTTGTGATGGATTTGTCTTATCTTCTACATTCACCGCAACATGGACATTACTTGATGATGTTTCACTAGGGCGACCTCTTTTCTTTGACTCCTTTTCTTCTGAGGAATGGCGGTTACCCATGCTGAAATCAAATATAGCAATTATTACTAATTAGCTACTAGTAATGGGTCTTATTAGTTTTAGAAACTTGACAAAAGTTTTAACCATGGTAGTATATACAACAATGAAGTTGTCAATAAAAATCAAAACAACAATTGTAACAATGTTAAGAAACCAGTCTTCATGTTCCAAAATTAGACAACTGGGCAAATGCATGCTCAGCTCATTTTGTTTCGCCAACAAAACAAAATGGAAACCAGTCGGCCATTTTCAATAAAATCATGAAACACAATGATGTGCATCAGTAATGCAGCGTGAATGATGTAAATTCTTAAAATCTGATTGATGACATCTTCAAATATTGTTGTTTTTAAACAAAACTGGCCAAATGCCAATCAAAGATTATTAAAAATTTAAAATACATGAACATTGTCTTCAATTCAGGGACTTGGCAAGTCTAGATTCGGGGACTTGGCAAGTCTAGATTCGGGGACTTGGCAAGTCTAGATTCAGGGACTTGGCAAGTCTAGATTCAGGGACTTGGCAAGTCTAGATTCAGGGACTTGGCAAGTCTAGATTCAGGGACTTGGCAGGTCTAGATTCAGGGACTTGGCAAGTCTAGATTCAGGGACTTGGCAAGTCTAGATTCAGGGACTTGGCAAGTCTAGATTCAGGGACTTGGCAAGTCTAGATTCAGGGACTTGGCAAGTCTAGATTCAGGGACTTGGGAAGTCTAGATTCAGGGACTTGGTAAGTCTAGATTCAGGGACTTGGTAAGTCTAGAATCAGGGACTTGGTAAGTCTAGATTCAGGGACTTGGTAAGTCTAGATTCAGGGACGTGGGAAGTCTAGATTCAGGGACGTGGGAAGTCTTGATTCAGGGACTTGGTAAGTCTAGATTCAGGGACTTGGTAAGTCTAGATTCAGGGACTTGGTAAGTCTTGATTCAGGAACTTGTAAGTCTAGATTCAGGGACTTGGTAAGTCTAGATTCAGGGACTTGGCAAGTCTAGATTCAGGAATTTAGTAAGTCTCGATTCAGGGACTTGGTAAGTCTCAATTGCTCCTGTTAAGGTAGGTAAGTAATAATGGAATGGGTATCTGTGCTCATGACAATGTGTTTTTAATATATAACAAATTACCAAATGTCTATGAATAAAATATGCTAATATATAAATGAGAATTCTAATGAAATTTTACAGAACTTGAAACTCCACTGATTAGGACAAACATGTAAAATTGTCACAGAAATATTTTAAAATTCACTTTACTAATATACATGTATTTATTAAATGCACAGCAAATTTTGTTGTTTATGTAGTTAGTTGGCTATTTTAAAACAAATGATACGATTTTACTGAATTTTACAATATGGTTTTATTACATGCTGTTGACAAAACCCAGACAATCATACAACGTATATGGTCACCAAATTTTCATTGGTAAGAAGTTCTCACCATATCTCAAAACTTCTTAACTAATTATGAGAGCAGTACTTATTATTACACGAATTATGAAAACTATTTATTATTAAATGAAACAATGCTTTAACAGATTTCTATTTTGCATAATTTCAGGCAGCTCCCCCTCCAAATACAACTACAGTGACATGTGTTCAAATCGACAATTATTTAATAACTTTAAAACTGAAAATTATGATTAAATTTGTTACTATTATTTATAAGATTAAATACCAACGATCAACCTTATATACCAGTTCAAGTTATAACTGTCGCTATATATTGGACCCCAATTGCCATTTACTGGTTCCTGACATTTTTGGCTTGTGTTGCGTTGAGTCAACTCAATGTTTTGACGTGTCAAGACAGTTAATTGGAGGAAAGTATTCACAAACAATTATTCAATCAGACCAGATTTTTCCATAGCAAGTCCCAGTGAGAATATTCAGATGAGTTGGCAATACATTCTGTGTATTCGCATCAAATGTGACCCACTCTTGTTCCAAAATGGAGGTCCCCCTCTAATATATAGGCGTCTGAACGCAGAAATTGGGGTTAAGGCAATCTTGCTGCCCAGTTAGACCTCATAAATAAAGTCATGAAAATGCAACTGGTGGAAGAAGGCATAAAATAGGTTATGGTAGAGTAGTGAGGAAGAACAGAAATAATTACAAGAAAGTAAAACTACAAACAAATACAGAACAAATGATTTATAAACTGAGTATTGAGTGGTTATCAAAATCAAAACACCACCACCGACAAATTTTTTGAGTAAAAACTGAAAATTTACTTAAATTGTGTCTGTTGGCTCTAAAATTAAGGTTCCTTTCTAGAAATACTGAAGAAGATAAGAAAAATAATTTGGGCGAGAAAGTCTGGTGGTGAAAATCTTAAATGTTTGGTATATGTAAGGTATTCACAAGGGAATGAAGCAACAAAAGTCACCACAGATCCCTACTTATAAATTATCAAGTTCTCAAGACCCATGAAATATAAAACAAGTTCTGTCATATCGACAAATTGGTAATGATAAAAAAAACATCACTGTAGTTGTGGTAGAATCAGTTCAAAACTTGGTGCCTTGCAGAAAAAATACATTATTTTGATTATTCAACTACAATTGTATTACTTCAATAACAAAAATGAGTTATGGCAAAAAAGGTTTCCAAAAAAATAAAAATCTGTCCACCTCGCAGCAAGCTCAGACACGATACTTGAGATAAAACACTACAGACGCAATTAGCTATTGTAATTGCCATTCAGTTTAATATTATCACCTCCTCTAGGGCAACAGGTTCATACTGTATATTACTATTCAGTACAGTACCTGCCTGAGAGTGCAAGCTCTAAAAAAAATATGCAATATCACAATTCTAGAAAAAATACCGGCACATAAAAATCCATTGTAACATTTGTGTGCTATTAATTGTAAGTAAATAACTGCAAAGCCATTTGGAAAGTGAAGAATCTTGATATCTTTAATGGAGCCTATATAAAATTGGCTGTTATACTGGACACAATTGTTCAAGGTCACAGTCCTTTTAATATCAGACACTATTGTAAATTAATTATAAAATAAAGAAGAGAATCAAATGTTCTCATACTGTAGAAGCTTCTATTGCAATTTTTGCAAAATTTTTTTATTTTTTATTTAATGTTTTCTAGAATTAATAAATAAATAAATAATTTGATAAATTTAAAACAAGTAGTTTAACAGGTTCTGCTGTTTAATGGTTATGCATGTCTTTCACTTTTTGCCATCCATATTATTAAAACAAAGACACAGTGATGAAGAAAGAAAACTGACAATTTACAACAACCTAATAATATAGGAAGTGACAATATTACACATGTATAATACATCACCATTACAGCCAAATATTCATTATAAGACTATTTAATAAGAAAAAATGAAATATACATGCCAAAATGAACACCATTTTTTTATTCAAGCCAAACCTGGGCTCTATTTCAATATGCCTAGCTCATAGGATAGCTGCAAAATACAGCCAAGCATGGTCGATTCTAGGTTATTCATTAATCATGGAAACCCCACACTTAGCAACACTTAGCAACCACCCTACTGATGACGTCAAAGCCAGCACTGCTATCATATTCAATACAATGGCCAGCACAAGACTCCGAAAACAAAGCCATTTAATTTGACACAGTTGCTTTTATCATCCTTTCATATATTACTGCCCTATTTTAAGAGGGTGACACCCTCCTGTTTTTACAACTAAACGCAAGCTTTTTCTTTGTCCTCGAACTCCCAGGCCCCTAATGAAATGCATTCAATATGCATGCCATCCTAGTTTCCAAGGTCCCACAGTAAAAGCAACAATGTGGCAAACAAAATAATGATGATGACAGTGTCACCATGACAACTCCATTAATATTCTGCCTAGATTTGGGGACCTCAATATAATGTCAATTTCCATGGCCCTTGCATGATTTATTTCCCTTCTCAATTTATGGAGCGACAAAACAACTGTAACGAAATCAACAAAAGACACAAGACCAAGCAAATTAAAACTAAGAAAATAACAGGCGTGAGAGTCATAAATTTTATTTGATGTTGGAAATAAAACCATGCCCCAGCGATTTCAGCAAAACTATCAAAATCCAACCCATGAAATCAAAGTGATTTTTCTACATCTCTTACAGATGAGCATCTACAACATAAATTATACAAAAATACATCACAAATTTAATTTGCATATAGTTTAATTTATTAGGTTTGACATTTTCATTGTTATCTTTGAAATAACAACATGGAATATT